CTGGGGGAAGGACAGATGCTTCCTGGAGCCCCCTGGCAGCCAAAATGGGCACGGGGATTCGCACACAGCCCACCTGAGCCTTGTTTTCACCCTCCATGGCCTCCTGCAGCACTCTTTCAGCTCTTTTTTGGCCCCTTTTTTGGCAGAGTGCTGTAGGAGCCCATGGAGGATGAAAATGAGGTGCGGGGGACCTGCATGCAGCCCATTTTAGCCGCCAGAGGCACCGTGGGCCGGTCCTTTGATATTTCCAGGCTGGCCCCATGGGCCAGATTTAAGCAGCCTGCGGGCTAGATGTGACCTGCAGGCCTTGAGTTTGACACTCCTGGTCCAGAGGGTAGCACCATCTTCTTTTCTTTTTTTTACTACGGTATCTTTAATTTCCAAATGTGTTTACATTCCTGTAATACTTTTTGTTAGTCAGCTATATGGAAAACTACATTGATAGTGAAATTGACATCTGGTTTGAATTCTAAAATGAGCAATGAGGCATTTGCTTTAACATCTTAGAAGATTGGGGGTTTTTCTGCCTTTTAAGTTAAGAGCAACACTTTACAACATATCCCTTGGCGTGACAGCATTCTGCTCTCCACGTATGTATCAGCAGAGGATGTTGCTAGTATGCATGGCAGCCAGAGGGGAAGGAGACATCTGATTACCGCACCATTGCAGTTGATACCTTGATGTAGGTGACAAATAAGCAGAGGGTGAAAATTATATATTTAATAAAATTTCTGCAGACGGTTTTACACTTTTGGACCATCTCTACTTTGATCCCATATGAGACTAAAGCGCAAAACATTCTGGTCCTTCCTTTTGCACCCATATGTTGTCATCTTCCAAAGAGGAAGCGATGAAGAGGCCAAAAGTGTAGCAGAAAGCACCTGAGAAGTGAAGGATATGTTTGAAAGCAGAACAAAAGAAAAGGGGTCACAAAGCGGTCTGCCTTCTGAAAATGGCAAAGCTGCCTTAGGTCTTCTTATTTTCCCCTCCCTCTCCAAAATAGATTCTTAATTCTTTTTTTAATTCTTTTTTCTTGCACTTTCTTTGAACTCTGTTACTTTACTTTTAATACCACTTGATGGTTACTTACTTTGAAATTCCCCATTTAATTTTAGTGTTTGCTATGTTGGTAGTGTGATAGAAAGCCACATATGAGTTTTTAATTTTGTTCAGTTTCAAAGTCCAATGCTTACCTAAATGGAGACTACTCCCCTGAAATCAAATCAGGTTTCCATTTGTGGGTTTCATCCCACCAANAGAGGCTTTCTAGGAGCCTGGGGAGGGTGAAAAGAGCCCCCCCAAGGCCCTCCAGAGGCTTCAGGAGCTTCCCTGAAGCCTCCAGAGGGTGAAAAACCAGTCCTATGGGCAAACCAGAAGCCTGTTCTTGAAGTTCTGGGGTGCCCGTAGGGCTGGTTGTTCGCGCTCCAGAGGCTTCACGAAGGGCAAAAAAAAAGAAGGCTAAAGTCAACTGGTCAGTGCGTGCATGCGCACTGGAGCTGACAGGGCAATGCCTCGCGTACCCTAACATATGGCTCTGCGTCCCACCTGTGGCACGTGTGCCATAGGTTCAGCATCACAGCACTAAATAAATAAATTTAGTGTGTTCTAACAGTAAGAAATTTTGTTTAATTTTAACTAACCTACAGCTCTGGGAGTAAAAAAAATAATAATTCACAGAAACAGTAATTAATAAACAAATGTGTTTTAGCTTTGAAGGAAAAATATTTCAACAGTATCATTGCAAAGGAAATGGGTTACTCAGTTTTCTTTAGTAATTATTATTATTTTCCAGTGATTGATGAGAATGAAGCTTGGATAACTCTGTTGGGATCCATAATTACTGTTGTGTATAGCTGGTAAGGAGAGAGAGATTTGGTAAATGTGGTTGTATTATGCAGGAAAAGGAAAATCTCTAGACACTGTAGCACTGAGAGGACTAATAGTGTCAGTTGCATAAAATGTGCCCTGATTAGCTCTTGTGCTGTCTGCTATGAAGAGAAAAGAGAAGAGATGTTAGCTTTGTGTTGTACAAATAGATTGCCCAGTTCAAGAGATTCCAAGATTAACAGAATAACAAAATAACAGAGTTGGAAGGGACCTTGGAGGTTTTCTAGTCCCATCTCCTGCTCAAGCAGGTGACCCTCTACCATTTCAGACAAATAGTTGTCCAATCTCTTCTTTAAACCTCCAGTGATAGAACACTGCAGGGGGATCCTTACTTGAGAGAAAAAGGAGTTTCACTGGATGTTATCTTACCCATTGATATTACAATATGGGCTGTTCCCAGGAAAAGCTCTATCCATTGTGGATAGGTGAATCATATATCCCATAAATTCAAGTCAGATTTTTTTACATGTTATGCAGGTATATATAACTCCATTATGTGCTTATAATCTGTATTTATAAAAATGATCTAAGATATGCATATTTTGGGCTGGAGAAATACATAACAGTAATGATTTTATTTATCCCAGAATCGACCTTATTCTCCTCCTGATAGGGATTTATGTTGATTGGGGGCAGACTGGATGGACTGCTAGCTCTTTCTCTGCCATCAGTTTTCCATGTTTCTATGTTTCTACATATATGATATCTAACTACTTTTCAAGTATTTCAATTAACTAATATCAATTGTCAATAGACAATTCCCTATACTACATTAATCTACAAATATGCCACCCAATTATTATTTCAAATTTAACAGATTGGAAAAAAATATTAAACAAGGGAATTTTTTGAAATTCTGACATGTGCCCAATTGAAAATTTCCATTATGTTATTTGTTTTTTCATATCACCCATAAAATGTCAGATATTTCTCAATTTTTATTTTTTGGCTAAGCATTCTCCTTCTTTATGTTATTTATTTATCAAAGTTTTTTTTAATGATAAAGTAGAGGCACATCCCCAGCTCTCTTTCTCATTATATTTTGCATCATGTTAGGTTGCAATAAGAAAACAGTAATAGTTCTGAATAATAAGTTACTGCAAGATATGAGATTTGTACTGCATTTATTCCAAAATTGAAAAATTCTCTTTCTTCCCTTTCTCCAGAATCTTGTGGATTCTCGAATCGTATATATTGTGAAAGGTAGATGATGTTGAGTTCATTTTTAGAAAGGTTTTCCTGCTGCTTTTTATTTAGGCAGTATTTGCAATATGTTTGCTGTTGGAAGACCTTGGCACCACTGTGATACCTGCTCACATAGCCAGGAATTCACAGCATTCATTGTGGGCAGCTCATTTTTTTTTTAAAGTAATTATCTATTTCATCAGAACAGTGATCAGATAAACTACTGTTAAAAATCAAAATAAATTATTGAATTACGTAGCTAATTCGCTTTCTACAAATACTGAGAGAAATAAATATGTTCTTGGACTTAACAAATTCAGGAAGCAATTAATTAAGAGACTTGTACAGAGCTAGAAGTATGATTGCTTTGCACATAAGAAAAAGAATTGCTATGATTTTCTGTCAAGGACAACAGTAAAAGCAACATTCTTTTTGGAAAAGTGATTGCATTTCAGTGCAAAAAAGGAGAGATATTTCTAACAGGAGGTATTCACTTCCTCAGACTTAATTTTTTTTTGTCTACATCATCAAAGCAACTGTATTGTAGAATCATACCAGAAAATCAAAATCTGTAAGGGGATCAAGCATGGGGTCTGAAATAATCAGGATTCTGGCACGCCATCTGATTGGTGTATTTTTCTTATGCTACCTGTTTGTTAAAGTTAAGACCATTTTCTAAGGTTGCTTAAGATTCTTACTGGCTTCTGCTGTAGCCTCATCATTTTCCCCGGTCTGTCCATTCATATGCTTTGTATTAGCAGTGGCTTATTGGCATTGTGATTGCATATTTCTGGTGCAACTATAATACTATCTGTAAGATCCTAAACCAAATTTAATTGTATTATATTATTTGTAACAGTTTTGGTTTAGCAATCTCCTTGAGAGTAACCTAGCTTGTGTTTGGGAAAATAATTAAATAAAAACATAATTGTTGGAGCGCAAGAGGAACTTTAAGTGATTGAGTATTTTCTACACTAGTTTGCAAACAGTGCATCAAAACAAACTTTGCATTAATGTGTTTCTGCCTTGAGTAGACATTAGGGCAGAACATCCCAAACTTTTTTAAAATTTTGGTGCCTCTAGGGTTTCACAGGACATCATAAATGCATTTCTATATAGAATATTTTTTTAAAAACCCAGGAAGTATAAAAATATTGTAGTTTGTCAGTATATATTAAATTCTTTAAACTTTATGCTTAATAGAGTTTGTTTGTTTGTTTGTTTGTTTGTTTGTTTGTTTAAAATATTTATATAGTTGTCCAGCTTATGTCAAACTCTGCGGAGCTCCCAAATATCAGTAGATGATATTCATCTAATAAGGCCACAGAATTAAATACTGAGAGCATAACAAGTGGTATTCTGCCGGTTCGCCCTGATTCAGGCAAACCGGTAGCAGCGGCTGTGGAAGGCTCCACCCACCCACCAAAATGTCATCAGGGATGCTCTGAGCATGCGCAGAAGATTCTGTACATACCCAGAAGCGCCATGAGCACATGCACGCTCCCAGTTCCAAACTGGTAGCGGATAAGAGGAAACCGTTACTGGAGTATAAATAATATGTTTGAATGAACTCCTGTACAATGTCAACATAATTTGGGAAAATATATAGACTAAAACATGAATGAGTTGTGGAAGAGATCCCTCCCTAGTTCAGTTTCAATAATTATATTTTAATAACCATATTAGAAAAATTGAAAATTGTATGTTGTCCCTTTAATTGCACTAATGCCTGGGAAAATTTTGATACATGTACAAGTTGTATACTTTGTATATTTATATAAGAAGGAGGGAATTCATTTCCATTTTTATTGCTTGTTATTAGTCCCAAATTGGAATTTATTCAACTACATTCCAATATTACATGTACCTTTTTGTGAATGCTGGTGGCTACTACTCTTTTATCAATTTCCCCCCTTCTTTCTTCTCAGGATTTATCAGGCTCCATTGATGACCTGCCTACTGGAACCGAAGCAACATTGAGTTCAGCCGTTAGCGCATCAGGTTCTACCAGCAGTCAAGGGGAGCAGAGCAACCCAGCACAATCACCTTTCTCCCCTCATGCCTCTCCACATCTCTCCAGCATCCCTGGGGGCCCGTCCCCTTCCCCCGTGGGCTCACCAGCTGGAAGCAATCAGTCAAGGTCTGGTCCTATTTCTCCTGCAAGTATTCCAGGTAAATGGTGGGCTTTAACTATATACCTATATACATTCAGCAATCTGTGGTGCTCTGTTTTGTTTTTTACCAATATTTTGTATGCTCTTCTTACTTCTCCATCCTAGGCATACGTCACATTATCAATCATTTATATAGAATGAAGCTCTTAAACTTGTTCAGGAGGAAAACTTTGTAAATTGTTAAACCTCAATTCATATCTCCACTCTCTTTTTTCCCCAAAAGAATTGGTCACCAATGTTTGTTTTGCAAGTGATCAAAAATAAAATTGTGCATTTTGCACAGCTGCTGTAAGAAGTAAGTTTCATTTTATTCCAAATGGATCCTACTTTTGAATACACATGCATATGGGATTGGGCTAATCTTGATTGTCACTTTCTGCCTCTGCCAGTTTCTCTCTTCTGATCTCAGTCACTTCTGATCTCCTATTTAGTCTTGCCACAAGCTTCTCTATATGACATAGATTGACTTCCTCAATCATTTTTTCCCCTCTGGCAAGTCATTATAAAACAAGGAACTGTTGTATTGCTGATACTGTGTCAGCAATGCAAAGATTTAACGGGGTGTTTTTTCATGAAAGGTTGTTAAAATTAAGGTATTCTGTTTTGATGGCTTACTGGTATAAAAGCATTATTTATCTCATACCTTTGTCAACCAAGAAGAAATTGACACCTAGAGAAATATTTAAAGAACATAAAGAGTCACCTTATAGAGGAGATGGGCAGCATGCACATTTAACAAATAAATAAAACAATATAAATAACCCTAACTGAATTTCTAAATGCTGTGATTGCCTATATATATTGTCTAACGACTTTCCTTCTTCATTTTATTATTATTTATTTTTTGTCTTGATCATGTTTGCGAGAATGAAATTGTATTACATTAATCACATTATATACATAGCATTATTTATTTAGTTATTTCCCTATTTAAAAAGCTGGGCATATAGAGCTGAGAATGGGATCCCTTACTATGTGATTCTGTCCTCATCAATGGTAGCCTCTCTATCATGGAAATAAAACAAATTCATATTATAAAATATAGAAATTATTTAAAGTTTCAGAACTTTATACAACACAGTTTTTTCCGTGTTTATCACTCTATTTTTACCAATATATTGTTAATATTAGCATTGTCATTTAGAAGGATGATCTCTCTCTTTCTCTCTCTATCTCTTTAATAAAATGATAACTGAGGAGTGAAAGCTGACATGGCATTACATCAAAATGCAATGCTGATGCCAGAACATTTAGTGAGTGCTAGCTTGGCTTGCTTCCTGAGCCCAAAGTCTCAGTTTACTAACAAAGCAAAAATGTTAAAAAGCAGGAAGCTGGGATCACAACGTTCTGTGGCCAGCTCTCAGTTTTTAATGGACTAGTATTATGTTTTACCAGATGCTCCAAAAGCTCAGAAATGCTCTTTTCCAAAATCTAATTATGACATGTACAAATTGGCTAAAATAACCTCTATCCTGTTTCAAGTTCAGTGTAAGGCAGCTAAGCACTCTATTAAAGAATCTGTTGAAGTCTTACCTGTCATTTATATGTTCCTCTCTTTTCCATAAAAAGAAAGGAGATTGTATGTGTTCCTTTTTTATTTTATCTTACATAACAAAAAATGTGCAATGAAATGGGATAGCAAAAAATAGATGCTGCAATCTTTTTCTGACTTTAGGGTAAAAGTAGGGAGTTTTAGACTAGTAGTTCTTTGGGCATATCCTGAGATGATGGAACACTTTCTAAATGCTTGTTTGTGACTTGAGGTTGTAATTATGGATTGCTTCTGTCCAGATACTTGTTTGAATATTTGAATGTTTATTTAATTTGTATGCCACCCCGCTCCCGAGGCACTCGGGGCAGCTAACAACCAAAGGGGGGAAGGGGATACAAATAGGACAAAAGACAGACAGAATAAAAACAACAGCAGTCACAACATTTCAAGTGGGGCTGGAAAGTTATCAGCCCCAGGCCTGCTGGAACAAGCAGGTCTTTGTGGCTTTGCGGAAAGCCTGGAGGGTGGTGAGGGTCCGGTTTTCCCAGGGAGATCGTTCCAGAGGGCCGGAGCAGCCACAGAGAAGGCCCTCCTCCGGGGATTTGCCAGTCGGCACTGGCTGGCAGATGGAATTCGGAGGAGGCCGAATCTGTGGGATCTGATCGGTTGTAGGGAGGTAATTGGCAGGAGGCGGTCTCTCAGGTATCCAGGTCCGATACCATGTA